CCTGCACTCCCCCTCCACAGACCCCTGTGCCTTCCCCTGCCAAGACCTGGCTGCCACTCATACTGACTGCCCTTCCCTCTATAGGCGACAAAAAAAATAACACGCGGCCGTGGGAGTTAAAGCCCATGCTCTGCACACCATGGTCCAGGCAACGAGGGAACCACAGACCCTCATGCGATGGACTGAATCCTGCCTGGAGGTGGCTGGGTGAGGACAGCGTCTGGTTTTATGTCGGAAGCTGGTTCTTTGCAGGAGCTGCTGTGCAGGGAGGGAAGGGCCATGGGCCTTACCGCCTCCGTTCTGCGGCCGCTCCACCCACGTGAAGGTGATGGCGCCCTCGCGACAGCTCTCACTGAAGCGCAGCAGGAAGGTGCCCGGCTGCTGGTCCTTGAGCAGCGCCCGCTCGCGCTCCTTGCTGATGAAGCCCACGATGCACCTGGGGGAGGCCAAGCATTCGGGTCAGTCGTGACTTTAATCTTCATGTTAACTTTCTATCAAGGTCGCTGGGCCCTGACAGACCAGCTCACAAGGACAGGCTATCGGAGGCTTTACAGCAATTTAACCCACACTCAGGAAGGACTTCACTTCCGTATGGTGGAGTCCAAAGAGGATCGCCAGCATGGGCCCAGCAGGGGCTCCAGGTGAGCAGTTAATACTTGCTGGCCCGCCCGCGTGGCTCAGTGGTTGAGCGCTGACCTATGAACCCGGAGGTCATGGTTCGATTCCTGGCCAGTGAACTTGCCCAGGTTGCAGGCTAGATCCCCAGTGTGGGGTGTGCAGGAGGCAGCCGATCAATGATTATCTCTCATCATTGATATTTCTCTCTCTCTCCCTTCCTCTCTGAAATCAATAAAAACCTATTTATAAAACAATAATAAAAGTGTTTTCTGCCTCCCTTGGGGCAATAGGGTGGGCACTGGATAAATGTATGAGTGGCACTCAGCGCCCCAGTGTCATCTCTGAGGCCCCCCTCCCCAAGCCTTGAGGGTGCCGAAGCCCTGTTTCTGTGAGACGCACACAGGTCTTGGCAACGGGCCAGGCCTGTGCCAGCGGCACAGCCCGGGGAGTGTGCGCTGAGCACAGGTTCAACACCGCACTTGCCAACGGCTCTTACCCATCATTCCAGAGAGAGAGCAGGTGCTTTTTGATGAGTTCAAGGATGCTTTCAATCCAAAGCCAGAAAGGAAAATTTTTGTCATTTATATTTTCCTGCAAGTAAACAAGTACACACATTAGGAACAAGGAATCCAAAGTCCTGGTGACTTCCCGTGCCTCCTCCCACCACCAGGCTGGAATCTGCAAAGGCAGCCCGGCTGCCACAGCCCGCTCGGTCCTGTACTCAGCAGCCCCCCACCCCCATTACTGGTCCCCACACACCAAGCTCTGCATTTCCTGGGCCGCCCCCCTTCCCTCTCCAAACAGGAGCAGCCGGCCAGGGAGTGACCTCCAGGGGAATCAGAACAAAAGCTGCCCTCGCACCGAACAGACCAGTAGCAAGTAGCAAGTAGCAAGCTGCAGCGGTAGTGAGCAGGCAGCAGGGGTAGTGAGCAGGCAGCAGGGGTAGTGAGCAGACAGCAGGGGTAGTGAGCAGGCAGCAGGGGTAGTGAGCAGACAGCAGGAGTAGTGAGCAGACAGCAGCGGTAGTGAGCAGGCAGCAGGGGTAGTGAGCAGACAGCAGGGGTAGTGAGCAGGCAGCAGCGGTAGTGAGCAGGCAGCACAGTCGCAGCTTAGTGAGCAGGCAGCAGTGGTAGTGAGCAGGCAGCAGGCCCGCAGGGGTAGTGAGCAGGCAGCAGGGGTAGTGAGCAGGCAGCAGCGGTAGTGAGCAGGCAGCAGGGGTAGTGAGCAGGCAGCACAGTCGCAGTGGTAGTGAGCAGGCAGCAGCCTGGTGACTTCAGGGGGTCTAATTATTCCCTCCGGCTGGTGGCTGGTCCCTGGGCTTGAGTTGCCTGGGGTTGAGTTGGCTCGGGGTTGAGTTGGCTGAGGGTGAGTTGCCTGGGGTTGAGTTGGCTGGGGGTTGAGTTGGCTGGGGGTGAGTTGGCTGGGGGTGAGGTGCCTGGGGGAGCTCATCTGGTGCCAACCCACCCACCCCGCACGGAGCACACATTTCTCACGGACGGGCTAACACGCTGCCAAAGGGGCTGTGTGAGCAAACAAGACTCGCTTGGATGTGAAAGAATGTTATCACCCGGCAGGCGCTTCCTGTCTGACCCGCACTGCGGCCGACTTCGGTGCCAAGGAAAGTAAACGCTTTGCCCTGGGGGCCCACGGGGAGAGGGACCAGCCAAAATAAACTCCCCGCGCGACTGCCACAGGGAGAGACGCGAGGACCTCGCAGAGAGCCAGGGACAGAGAGCTTAACCTGACAGAGCCCACCTTACAGAACCTTGTCCACGGAATCAGGCCGTCGGGGCCGGCACCAGGACCTAACGAAGAAAAACAAGCTTTGTCAGCAAACAGAGGTCAGTTCCGGAGCTTTGGCTGGGCTGGTGGCTTGGCTCCTGTTTGTTCTCAAAGGAAGGAGCCAGCACCCGGCACAGGACGGCTGTGTGCACAAGGCTACCCCGACAGCGCGTTTTCTGCAGAAGCCTCCATGTGGTCCCTCCCAGGGCCAAAATCCCTCCCCAGTGGCCTGCAGAGCTGGTTTTAAAAATGCAAACTAAGGCCAAGACCATCCTAGGCGACCTACTGAATCAACACTTGACTTTATAAGCTTGCTTTAGATATCAATGAGGCATTTCCCTCACCCCTCCTCCAAATGGGACAGGGGCTAGGGAGTTTGATGCAAATCAGAAGTCTTTTTTAAAAAATATATTATTGATTTCAGAGAGGAAGGGAGAGGGAGAGGGAGAGGGAGACAGAAACATCAGTGATGAGAGAGAATCACTGATTGGCTGCCTCCTGCACGCCCCGTAATGGGGACCGAGCCCGCAACCCAGGCATGTGCCCTTGACCGGAATCGAGCCTGGGACCCTTCAGTCCAAAGGCTGATGCTCTATCCACTGAGCCAAACCAGCTAGGGCAGAAGTGGAGGGAGAGCAAAGGGAGGGGAAGGAGGCCTCGGGGTTACTAGCTACACATATGAAAGCAGCCCAAGGCCGTCAGAGGTGGGAGCTCATCTCTCCTCAAAGGAACCACACATGGCCAGCCTGGTGTGGCTCAGAGGTTGAGCACAGACCCATGAACCAGGAGGTCATGGCTCGATGCTTGGTCAGGACACATGCCCAGTAGGGGGTGTGCAAGAGGCAGCCGATGGATGCTTCTCTCCCTTCCACTCTGAAGTCAATGAAAATATAATACATATATATATATTTTTTTTATTTTTTTAAAGAATCACAAATAAGCCATTACAGAGAGGAAATATATTTCTTAAGTCTCACCAACTAAGGAGAAGAAATATGGTGACTTTCTACTTTTGATTCAGTAGCACAAGCCCCCACGGTAGCAGCTACATGGCCAAGAGGAGGCGCTGCAGCGAGCCTTGTGGTCGGGGGAGCCTGGGGTGCTTGCAGTGCGCGCAGCGCTGCTGGGCAAGGAGCGAATGTGCAGCGACGCTGCCCATGAATTCTTAAAGAAATCGTGTGGACGCTCTGTCCACTGAAGGCCTGAGACCAGCAGGCCTTTGATTTGCTGAGGGTGGGAGACTCGTCCACCCATGGCACTGGCCACTGGAAGGGGACCATCTGCCTGGGGGGACCTGCCCGGCAGGCAAAGCTCTTCGTCAGGGGGTCCCGAGGTGGGCAGTGGGCAGGGCCTCCTACTGGCCGCTGAGGCCGGCACCGGGGGTGCCGTGCGCGGGCCCCAGCCCTACTCGCATGTGGTGGAGACTTAGTTTTCTCTCCAAGGTTAAAAAGACTTTACCTTTCTCTTCGGAACTTATTTTAGCCACAAGGAATATGCCTGACATAACGCAAAAACACCTTTCTCCCAGGACCGCTGCTCAGAAGCATCGAGATCCTGGGAAACAGGCACCAGACCTCCAGACCTCTGGCCGGTCTGTCTGTGGAGGGGAGGGTGCCGCCCGCTCAGCTCTGAGCTGCCCTGGAAACGCCAGTGGTTCCCCTCCCCCCTTGAACAGAAGAGCGAGAGGGGCACGGAGGCACCGCGATTGCGGGCTCACAGACAGAGCGGGAACGTACCCAGCAGCTTCTCGCCCAGCATGGCCAGCTGGTCCCCGTTGAGGCCTCTCTTGGTGACGGAGGAGAACTGCCAGCTTAGCACCTCGGAGAGCTGCGCCCAGCGCGCGCAGGGCGGGTTCAGGAAGAAGGACAGGTTCTGGGGAGAGGACACGATGTGAGCGGCGCCCCAACACCACGGCCACAGGCCAGGACTCAGCACCGCCGGTGCCGGCTTCCGACACCCCACGCTGACGGAGAAGCAGGGCCGATGCGCACGGCCTGCAGCGGCCCCTCTGTGAAGTCAGTGCTCCCCGAAAGGTCCGTCGCTGGGAAATCCAGACCCACGTGCTTCTGCGCTCACTCGTGGCCGCGCGTGCCCCACGGGTGAGAACTGCGTCACCCGCTGAGGTCAGAGCGCCCCCCACCCGTCCACCCCCAGTCCACCTCTCAGGGAACCGGTCCTTCCCGAGGTCTGGGCACAGTGCAGCGCTCGGCATCTTGTGCTGCTCTGCGGGGTCTCACGGTTACATGTAAAGGTGCTGTCTAACCCTCCTCAGGCCAGGACCTGCCTCGGGAGCCCTGTGACGCCAGAGAAGCTGTGCTCAGGCCGGAGGCTCAGTGCCCCTGGGCAGGAGCCTGACACTAATGAGCCAGCAATACATCGGGTAAGGTGTCTCAATGGACACCCACAGGAGCAGGTCACCTATGAACGGGTGACGAGAGCTTGTAACTGAGGCTAGCAGGAGCCGAACCCCTTCTTTGGGCTCAGTATTTGCTAAACCAGTGTTCACGGTGAGTAGGTGACTGAGGGGCTGTAGGTGTTCACGGTGACTGAGGGGCTGTAGGTGTTCACGGTGACTGAGGGGCTGTAGGTGTTCACGGTGACTGAGGGGCTGCAGGTGTTCACGGTGACTGAGGGGCTGGAGTACAGTGAACAATGAGAATCGACTAGAGTCAGTCGGTGGGGAGTGTGCACACTCTAACAATGAGTTTGTTAGTAGAAGCACCCATTTTAAAGACGTACCAATAAAGGGCCTCATCCACAATAAGCTGTAATAGACGACCGACTGCCCGGCTTAGTCAAGCTCGAGGGAAATCACGGTTCTCATACAAAACACACCCACAAGCCTCCGCCTCCCCAGAATCACTCCAGGCCCCTGGCCGTGCCCTTGCGCCATGTCCCTCGGCACCTGGCCCTGGCGGCTCTTTCGGAGCAGAGCCGCGGAAGCTAGAGCAGGGGGTGCGGGTCCCCAGGGTGAAGACAGACGTGTGTACGTACCCTGGGCTCCGTCACCAGCATGTTGTACCACAGGATGGAGGCCCAGCCGCTGGGGAGCTGGCTGACGTTGGAGATCACCACCACAGGCAGGGAGGTCGTCTGAAAGAGGGCAGAGACCATGAAATCGTCTGAGTCACAGCCATGTCGCCTTAGACCTCGGCACGGCCCGAGCCTGAGCCGGGGATTATGGGTAAATTTACATAGATTTTACATTTCAAAATTAAAATGTCAAGTTATGTTCTTTCGCTCATAGTTTAGTTTTTTTTTCCTTAAGGTTGTCAGTTTTTAAAAATTAATTTGAAAGAGAGATGGGGAGGGGGAGGGAGGGAAGGAGGGAGGGAGAGGGAGAGAGGAAGAGAGAGAAAGAGAGAACACTGCTTGGTCACCTCTTGCACACACCCCAACTGGGAATCGAAACCAGGACCCTTCAGTACACGGGGACGACATTCCAACCAACTGAGCCACACTGCCTACCTAGGGCTTAATTTGTTTTTGACTTATCTCAATTCTTCATATAAAAACTAACAGAATAGCTCAACTGAAACAATTTGCTTACAGAATTTGAAGGTTAATTCAATTACCTAGCTTCATGACTCATTAAATTAAGATAGTATTAGCTGGAAAATACCATCTTTTCTTAGCAAGTAGGTAAATACCTCTAAAACAAAAACTGAGTAATAAAAATACAAGCAAGCAAGTTAAATACAAGCAAGAGGTTACATAAATAAAGTTCTCCACGTCCGGTCACGTAAATCTCACCTCCAGGTCGATCACCAAGCCCGGCTGGCACAGCTGGGTCTCGAAGCTGAGGGAGTGCAGCTCCTCAGTCACGATGAGCGGGCCCTGAAAGAGAGGGGGCAGCGCTCATCCGCGGTCCTCGCTCCCAGCTCCGCCCCGCGCCCAGGCCCAGAGCTGCGCCCAGGCCCAGAGCTGCTCCCAACTCCACCCCAGGCCGAGAGCTGCTCCCAACTCCACCCCAGGCCAAGAGCTGCTCCCAAGCCGAGAGCTGCGCCCAGGCTGAGAGCTGCGCCCAGCTGGGGCGCGCGGGCAAGGGCTCACTTCCCTCCTCTGCCCCAGGTTGATGACTGCAGACACCCCGGTGTTCTCCCAACATAGAGCGCTGAAACCATGGCAAGGACTGCTGATTAGGGAAAGAACTGTCATCAGGGAAACACCCACCCCCCCTGG